GTAGGGAAATCAGGCTTCATTAGTTACGCTGCTCCTGGAACTACTGCTTTTCAGGAAGATTTAAGAAACAAAACATAGCACAGTTACACAGGACGAACCTATGGATTTACCCAAAGGCTACACTGTGATTTGGAGCAGTATTTGACAGCCAAAAGAGAAAAGCAAACAAGTTTCACAGCTGATGATTTGTGAGCACTGTGCGTTTCCCTCCATGCCGCGCGTCTGCGTGTAGGCAGCTCAGCGAGCAGACAGAGGACCCTGATGCTTATTTATTCTTGCAAACACGATGCTGTTATTTTAAAACATGGAAGCGCTAAGGATAACTTGGGCTTTGTTTTCCCTTCCGCTTGTTCTGAGGTGGAGAGGACTGTGGGATGCTTTTAGTCTTGGCACACAACAGCAGAAAAGTCAATCTGTCACAGGCGAGCGGAGTTAATATTAGTCATGAATGAGATCATGATTTGCGTACAGTAAGAGTTATTATTTGTGGTACAGTGAGCCACTGCAAGAGCATGTGGGAAGTCATGACTAATTGTATACAGTCCCATAGCTACCAGCGATGAATGAGCTTTTTCTTTCACCTAGGGCCAGCACTAATAAGTTACCCATGACCTCTCCTCCTCTAATTCCCTTCCTCACATTCTCAGCAATTTAAAGGAAAAAGCAAACTTTCTGTACTTTGGTACTGGCATAGAAGCATGCAAACAAGCAAAGCACTTACATAGGTTGTCTACCTGGAACAAGGGTTGTTCAGTGGACCACAGAGAAATGTATGTCTGAGGCCAGTCACTCTCAGCAGAACTGCTCGTGTGAATAAAGATTTTGCAGGGCTGTGTCTTTTCATTAAAAGAAAATAGTGAATTGGAGGAAAAGCAGCAAGAGGTTCGCTCAGCCTGGCTCACAGAGAAGTGGACGTCAGGCATAATATGTTATATTATCAGAATTAGTGATTCAGATTACAATTATTTTATGATGATTGAATGAGGTATGTATATATATACATTGGAATATATACATTATTAATGACTTCTTACAGTTGAATACCATTATCTGCAATAAAAACCACAGCACTTCTATGTTACCTTTGCTGTGATGTGAATGTATGGAACTCCAGTGATACATCACTCCACTTGTTATATTTCATAGTATAAATGGTTTCTCAGCCAGTTTTCCCATGTACTTTTTAAAACGTAGAATACGTTGTTGTGTATATGCAAACCAATCCATATTAAAAGTGGGTTTAATTAGGGATCCTTAGTAAAACGAACCAAAATATGAATCCTTGTGAAGCACTAGTAAAAATATTTATGATTTAAATTCTGAAAAGGAAAAATTAAAGATAGGACGAGATCAAATAAACAGAGTTGGAAATTAAATTCCAAGTCCACTATCTGAAGAAAGGGCAATAGCTCTGCCAGTTTGGAGTCCAAGTTTATTGAGGTGTATATAAAAAAAAGTATGCCTGAAATGACCAATTTCCTCTGATAAGGTTCTAGGTTCATTTTCTTTGCTTGTCTTGCTTCTGTTCAAGGCCCTAGAGGAACTAACTCCCAAACTGTGGCCCATGATCTCTGAGGCCATGATAAGCACCTTGTATCCAGCTCGTGAAACCATTTCAGCTGTCTAGAGTTTTTAAGGTAAAGTTCAGTGATGAGGGTGTGCTGGCCATCTGGAGTTGTGACTGTGGTCCACTGGTCCAGAAACTTTATGGTGCTCCTGCTTTTGAGAACATAATTATGAGCTTTGGCCTCATTTGGAAAAGCAGTGTGTATGTATGTATTTGCTGTTGGTTTTGGATAGGCACTTCACCAGGACCCTGGCACTGACAGGCAGGGTACACCTCAGAACAGCACGAGGAGAGAGCCTGGGGTGTGCATCACCTTGCGGATTGTCCTCTCAGGTTCCTAGGCACGTCATCTTTTTATTTTCGAGGGGAAATGAGAGAAACTAATTAACAACCTTCAGCAGAAACTATGTTCACATCCTCTTTCTTACCTTTTAACTGTATGCACCATTAGTGAAACAGAGAAATGCTTACAGGCAAATAATACAAACCGCTTTTCAACATGTAGTCTGCTGAGGTGTTGTGTACTGACAAAGAAAGCCTGACACATTTCATCGGTTATTTCTCTCTTTTCAGCCCTTAAGGAAAGTAAAATCTCATCACATTGCAATATAAAAAACTGATAGCAGTGTTGATGTGAAAATACCAAGAGACCTTCTAGAACATTATGTTTTAGGGCTGGATAAACCCCTTAGGATAGTATTATACTATATATACATGCAACACCTATGGGAGAAGAGGTAATTAATGTGGATGTACCTAAAACTACGTCTTCGACTTACCTTGCAATGACAAAGAGGACACAACTGACTCCAAGGCAGGCTAGGAGTACATACATCCAAATATCAGGAGAAAGAGGGTTTAAAAAGGAGAAAACACCAGGGTTTGTCCCATTGGGCTTCCGGTACAAGATACTGATTCCCAGCGTCATGAAGGGCTTGGAAAAATCAATTACTTTCTCTCTTACATAGGTAATAGTGAGAGGAGCAACCGCCAGATCAGCTTTCTGAAAACACAAATGGGAAAATACTCATAGTTTTTCATGTTCACCAAACACACTACTGTTCTTTCCATTTTTACCCCCAAGTGTTAAAAAACCAAACCAAATTTGACTATAAATCCGAAATGTGTGACAAAATTTACCATTGCCAGGGTATCTTTTAGTACACGACACTCTGTCTCTTTCTGCAGTCAGAG